TATTTAGTCTGTTTTTGAGCAACAAGCAGCTCAATCAAAACGTTCTGGTTTCGCATAAGATCTTGCATAGTTGTCTGCATGAATGACATAAACTCCATCATACTTTGTTGAAGATTACATATCATTGTTTAAAGTTTGTTCGTAGACTGTTCTTCTGGTTGATGAGGGGAAACTGATAATTTTGGATTGGTGGGAGCGGTACTTTTAAGACCCAATTTTAGAGCAGTTGCAAAGCTTGCGGATTTATCGGTGACCTCATAATTGGCTAAAGATTTAACGTGTAAATTTCATAGGTGGTGTATGTGAGTGAGCAGTGGTCACTCTTTGGTGTGTACGACTTTTCAGTTCCTTCTAGACTGGACAGCCCCTGTAGTTAGCCGTATGGTTGCCTCCACAGTTTCCACACTTTTTGCTGCTGGGATTCTCTTTATTTTTTGGGTATTTATGAGATTCATGAAGGTCTCCACAAGCAAGCTTTTGAAGAGAAGCCACTGGCCGTGTCTAGACTAGAGAAATATTTACCGCCTCGCAGGCGGTCTATTTGGTCTGATATTAATGGCAAGGGGTATCACTATTACTTAACTCCACATTAACATTACTTTTATGATCTATCGCATTTACATTTTTATCGTTTTTTAGAGATAATACGGGTTTGAGTTCTGTAGATATCGAATCTACCTCTTTCTAAAGTTACTCCAAAACCAAGCTCAAAAATGTCTTGTCCAATTATCATATCATATTTAAGGCACTTATTATCTACTACGTGAAATAACAATTCAAAATGAAATTCAGAGATTTATATGACAGAATGTCAGAATTTGTGGACAGAATTTGCATATTTCTCTTGACAACGTTGTCGCCTAGGCCTCTCAAAACAACCATGTTATGGATTCTTTTACCGGCCAGCTTCGCGCCGACTTTTTCTTTTACCAAAGAGCATTCTGATCCCGAATCAAAGAAAAATGGAAACTTCTCACCAAATTGAATTGCAATCCCGTTAGGCTGATGTACTGCGCACATGTCTACCCTTCTTTCGTTGCTGCTTCGGCTCGCTGTTGCTGTTCCCCTCGTACACACTGACGCGATATGTCTAACGCCGCCACACTTGAAACAAGTTACTGTTGATCTCTCTCGTGCCATCGTTGTTCTGTTGTTGCTATGGCCTGGTCTAGTCTCGTTTCGCTCTTCCGTTCTTCTCTTGCGACACTGCATTGCCTTATGTCCAAGTTTTCCGCAATTATGGCATCTTATCGGCGTCTGCATTTTGAACCTCTTCTTTTCGGGTCTCGAGTTGTTGTTTCAGTTCAGCATGCGTGTTTATGTTTGTAGTGAACGCTACACGCTGCAGTCTAGGGTCAATTTGGGATGCATGAGCCAAGGGATATGGCAATCTCCTCATAGGTCATTGATGACTCACAGTTTTGCACTTGGTCAATAATAATGTATTTAATCGACTGGAATACACCGAGAGGCATTTATTTGCATTGGGACATCCCTTGAGCATGTTGAGCAACACTGCTGCCGGCGTTTCGTTGCCTTCGTAGCGTTTCATAAACAATTACCGGAAAACAATTAAACAATTGCGACCAGCTCATTTCAGGAAAACGAATTTGCGACAGCCACTGCGATGCACCGAGCAGCGATTTGCTGAGCGTCATCACCAAGGACGCACCTTCTTGTGGATGTTCACTTAGAATCATATCCGCCGTTTTGCAATATGCTGCCGCGTTCGCGTCTGCTTTAAGTAGTTCAGTTATCACTCTATTTTGCGATTCTTATAGCCTGCGCCAGCTATTTTCCGAGTTTGTAGGGGCGGAAATCCCACTTCTGATGTCGGGAAATGCTGGTCGTTTTCCTCTGTCATTTTGTATTTCACAACGCGTCGTCTGTTCACTTCAGGGGGCTGTTCTTGATTTCCCTTCCTCTCCTCTTCCTCCTTTCCATCATTGCGCCATGCTTAGCAGGGCTTTACTCTCCTTCCCCACCGCGCTCTCATTCAAAAAGCTTGTCTCTCTTCATTTGCAGTGCTCATTTAATTCCTCTGAGACTATACACTTAATTTATAATTCATCCGTAAATACAGTATTTGAAATTAAATCTAACTTATCTCCGACATATACTTTATAGGGTAGGTGCGGAAGGTATTATAATTTTCTATACATTCGTTTATTTTCTTCTTCTGTTGAGCAAAACGCTTCTTTTCTATAGTAATGAGTAAGTTGACAGAGACGGGAAATTATAACGATACTGTTTTTTCGCGAATGTATTGTGAGGTCTCCCCACATGCTAAGACAGATAGCCGGGGGCAAAGGAGGGCCGAGGAGGTGCGAAAGCGGCAAAAGGGGGTCAAGCACCGGTCATCAACCTGGCAGCCAAGTGGAATGTCGCCAGGATCAGTGCGGGGGGTTGGGAGGAATGTGAAAGCCAAGGAGCGAAGGGGGCGGCGAGGGGCGAAACACCGCCACCCGTGGGAAGACGGAATCTACGGTGAAGGGCTAAACACCGCCACACGGGGGAAGACGGAATCTACGTAAAACGCAGCGTTATCCGGCGAAGGGTTAAACACCGCCACCCGGAGGAAGACGGAATCGACGTGGAACGTAACGGTTCCCGGAGCAACGATGGAAAAGTAGTCCAATGGAGGAGGGGGAATCAGCACGATGCGCAGGCGTACCTTAGAAAGTGTGGCGGTGTGAGCAGCAACGGTGAACCAAGGAGCAAAGGGGGGTTGCGACGCAGGGTGCAGCGGGCCCTGGAAGCCGGTGCACCACATAGTAGCAGCAGATATCCATGGCCAGGAGAAACCAGGGGCCACGGACGGCGACCCGCCAACGAGAAAGTGGCGTGATTATAGAAGCAGAATCCCGGAGGATTAACGGGCGCTCCAGCCGGTATAAAAGGAGGCCCATTGGAGCGGCTCGAGACGAGTTTTTTTAGGGTGGGGAAATCGAGTTGGACCATTCCCGAACACGGCAGGTAGCCTTGCAAGGAAGTGAGGAAAGGATACGTCTGGCGTATGCCTTACCGACTCCTGAAATCGCAACCAACAGGCGTGGTCCTGCGAAACAAGGATCGGCCGACTCAAGAACTCACGCCCAAGTCAGAGACCGAGTGAGAACACCCCGGTCACCAGTCCCGCCACTACGGTCGGTCAGTAACACGGCAACTTCCAAACCTGGCACCGTCGCGTATACACGGTGTCCCGGTGTAGCGAAGGCGACACGCATAGGCATTCCCGAACCTGGCACTGGCGCGTATGCACAGTGTCCTGGTCTAGCGGAGGTGGCAGTCTGCATACAAACTCCCAAAACTGGCACTGGCGCGTATGCACGGTGGTTCCCGGGAGTAGGGGAGCGAAAGAGAATTACCAATCGAGGTTGGAAGGCCCGTATGTGGCCAGCAAAAGGACGGCGGGTAGTGGAGTTGCCAGCAGCGCGGCAACAGGAGTAGCATCGGCGACGGAGTAGCGGCGTGTCCTGAACAACCCGCAGAGGACGCCGACGACGGAGCCGGCAGAAACGGGAGTAGTAACGAGAAAGGGAGAAGGAAACCCTTTTGTATTGTGAAGAGATCTCTAAATAAAGAGTGTGGAAATCTCAAGCTGTTTGTATTATTTTCTGGGCTAGGGCAATCACGTCGAATCTATAAATTTGGTGGAACGGATCCCGAAACTCTGTGAGCTAGCCGCGGCAAATTGTGGCGAGCGGAAGCAGAAATAACAGTTTGTTACACCTGGCGCCCAAACTTCGTGATTGCATTAAATCTAGAAAATAGTCTAGAAAACAACATAGAGAAATGGGAAAAAAGAATTGGATTTACACATTGAGAAAGGACGAGCTGAGCGAAATGTGTAGAGAGCTCGGCCAACCAGCGGACGGGACCGTGGAAACGATGAGATCCTTAGTGGCAAAGTGGGTCCACGAATCAAAGGATGAAGAAGTACTAGCACTGACTCACGGACTCGAGGAAAGTTTTGAGCAAAGATCCAGCCCCAGGCAGAGAGCAAGCAGCGAAACCGAGAGGTCCGCAATTAAAAAAATATGTCCCGGCTCCGGTGGATTACGCCAAAGTGGCCAACCTCTCCAAGGCCCGCCGGAACGGCAGAACATCACAGGTCAAAGCTGGATGCCAAGATGGCAGCATGAGACCCAGCACAGTTCGTTGCCGCAACAACGAATTCAGCAGTGGGCAGCAGGGCCAAGACAGGGTCCTGTCGAGAACCCAGCATAAGCGTGCAACAGATGCGGTGGCATGGGCCATTGAACGAGCGTGTGCAGGAAGCCAAGGTTGTTGTTCTGCAAGATGTGCGGCGCGACCGGTGTAAGAAGCACAGAATGCTGCCAGAAGTCGGGAAATGCGCAGCGGTCCCAGCAACAGGAAGGAGAGCAGGGTTTGCACGGTGCTGCCTCTCAAAACTATTAAGAGGACTATCCGGAGAAAAGCAGCAGTTGACGGCAATCGACGAGGGCACGGAGGTGAAGGCCATGCTGGATAAAGGAGCGACGGCGAGCTTTATCTCTGAGGAACTAGCAGAGAGCCCGGAAATCACCGGGCAACGCGTCGCGATAAGGAGACGTGTGAAGTTGGTCAATGGAAGCCATACGGGAACACGCGCCGCATTCGAGGCACAAATAAGCTTTGGCATCAAGACAAAGACCCTGACCCTACTGGTGATTCCGGAGGAGGGAGAGGGAGAGATGGGGCGGCTGCCTGGAGGATAGGCTGTCCGAAGTAGTGGCCGGATGCCCAGAGAAATGGGAAGAGGAACGCCATAAGAGGTTCGTCGAGAGGGAGCTGGAGGCGTTCGCGGACCAAAGAGGCCGCTCAAACATAACGCAGCACAGGATCACGATGAAGTACGAAATTCCCCATGAACAGCAATATTACCCCAAAAACCCAAAAATGCAGGGGGAAATAAACGCGAAGTTGGAGGAGCTGCTGGAAAAAGGATGCATTGAGCCCTCGAATAGCGTTCGAACCCATAAAGTTCACCCATTGTGATGGTGAAGAAGAAGACGAGAAGACGGACGGCAGGACACCTAGACGTGAGGAAAACAATAGCCAGAGTGGCCGTCAGGTACTTCTGGCCAGGGATGCAGAGGGACATCCGTAAATACGTCAGGAGGTATGAATTTTGCTTAAAGTATAAGCCGTGCCAGATGCAAGCAGCAGGACAAATGCTGACACAGGTCTCGGAGGAGCCATGGGCAACAGTGTGCTCGGACTTTGTGGGTCCATTGCCTAGGTCGAAACACGAAAACACAATAGTATTGTTGATAATTGATTCGAAGTGGGCGGAGATAGTGCCACTTCGAAAAGCAACAACCGAGGCGCTACAGAAAGCGATCCAAGAAAGAATTGTCGCTTAATATGGAGCATCAAAGATAATGGTAACGGACAACGGCGTACAGTTCACTAGCCGAAGCTTTAAGAAGTTCCTCGGGGAGCTTGGCGCCATATACGCCGCAGGAGAATCCCACAGAAAGAGTGAACAGAACGGTCAAGACGATGATCGCCCAGTTCGCTAGGAAGGATCAAAGGACGTGGGACGAGCACTGGCCAGAGCTAATGCTGGCAGTGAATTCGGCAGTGTCGGAGTCCACGGGGTATTCGCCGTGTTTTGGGACGCAGGGCAGGGAGCCAAGAAGGCCGCAAGCCCTGTTCGCTTTAGGCACAGGAGTTGTGCCTTTAGGCAAAACACTTTAGGCACAGGAGTTGGGCAAGGAACGCCCACGGAGAATGCGACGAAGCTGAAAAAAGTCTTCGAAATAGTGCGGAGGAACATGGTGCGAGCGGCATTATAATTTAAGGAGGCGGAAGTGAAGCCCAAAGGTCGGTGAGACAGTTTGAACGAAGGAGCATAACTTATCAAAGGTGGCCGAGGGATTCGCGGTAAAACTAGCGCCACGGTATGATGGGCCCTATACGGTCGGAGATTTCGTGTTTCCGGTAATTGTCATCTTATGGCACAGCAGGACAAACAGAAGGAAGAGGGCACACGTTAGTGAGCTAAAGTGCCAAGATATGGAGTCACGGGCAAAGAAAGGATGATTACGAAACGAAAACATCAAACCTGGGAACTGCATGTGCTATAAATGTGGAGCCGTCTATTCGAAGAAAAATTACAAGCGGTACGAACGCATCGATCGTAGTCTCATCCGACGAGAGCGACCTGGAGGTGGTTGGCGATCCGTCGTGGGACGTAAAGAAAGCGAGGGCACCGTGGGCAATCGAACGGGCATCAGGAGGATGGAAATGGCTAGAACAAGGGCCAAGCTGGCGGAGCAAGTCCGGCAAAGAAACGCCCGGGAGTGGATGGACATGTTAAGAGACAAGCGCGAGCGAGCGCTGAGAATAGCGATGGCGAGGAGGGTGCACCAGCGACGGTCACGGCGGTTTGTGGAGGAGGCGAAGAAGAAGGCGGCCTCCGGGAGGGTGCGGCAGGCGACGCCGTGGCCCTTGGTAGCACCAACGCCACGCCCAAGGACGGAACAGGAAGAAGAGGAGCCGTGGGTGTGGCCGGCGCTCGGCCGGCAGAAGTCGTGCCCCGAAAAACGGCCGATGAGGCTGGTACTACAGCGGTCGGCGTCAGACGGAGGCGGGATAGAGGTCCCGGACGCGAGCTGGCCACCGGAGCTCGGCGTAAAGGTGGCGGCTGAGATGAAGAGACGCCGCGGACGGGCTGGAAGGATGTGCATCATTGCGCCAGTGGGAGCGGCACGAGGAAAAAAACCAATGAAAAATATATATGTCGTAGAATGGCTAGTTTGCCCATTGTATGTGTGCGTACAGCTTTGGTATGGCGACACATTGTCGCTAGTAGTTTTAAAATGCACAGTAGCTGAGAAAAAGAGACACACTCTGCTGCTGAGCATCGTAGAGCGCGGACTGAATGAGAGAAACAGAGAGGGCAATAGACTTTGCAGGAATGGTGAAATTAGACAGAACTCTGTGTTACTGAAGTCAGTTGCGAAGCGTCTCTAGTTACGAACAGAACTTGCTGTGCAATTATACTAGGAAAATGTAAACAATTGAGGAATCTCCGACATAAGAAGCGGGATTCGCTTTGCCTACTGATCGTGCCACCGATCCGTATTTGTCAGCGTTGGAGCTGCAAAACCGCAACCTACTGGAAATCATCAAAAACATGCAGACACCAAGGGCACCGCCAACCGATGGAAAATCATCATATGTGACTTTTCCAAAATTCAATCCTGACAGCGCTGGAGCGGATGCTTCCTCTTGGTGTTCAACAGTTTATCTTATTTTTGCGGATAACGTGCTCGAGGGTAGCAACCTGGTGATTGCCCTAAGCAAGGCACGCTGTTTATACAACTCTTTGTTGGAATCGGGACTTCTGCCGCCATGCTATTAAATGTTCTGAATGGTCGACCAAAGCCGGAGGAGGGCTTTGCTGTATACGGTAGCCGTATTGTGAAACTACTTATGTCAAAATGGAAAGCCCAGGGTTTGGAAGAAATAGCGGTATCTGTGACTCTGGATCACATGGCGCAAATAGACAACAAGTTGACGCAAGTTGGGTTTTTACAAACAAAGTGAAAACTCGCAATGAGCTACAACAACAGTAACACGCACACTCTTTCAAAAAGCGCAGTATAGACAACGATTCAACAGGCTCGGAGTGCAAGAAGTTCAAGCAAAGGCCAGAGCAAAGGTAAAATCCACAGCGGCAGCAACATGACTGGACCGAAGGATCGGTCAAGTGTTAGGTGCTTTAAGTGTGACGAAATAGGACATTTTGCATCCGCTTGTCCAAAAGGCCGAACGAATGAGAAGCGGTAGATATCTGCACAGTAGCTCCACCGACTGGAATAATAAGGGCATCCGGTGAGTCTATTTCATTTTGTTATGATTCGGGTGCTGAATGCTCTTTAGTGAAGGAAAGCGCCGTGGATAAATTTAAGGGAAAAAGAATAAATAACATTGTAAAACTTAACGGTATAAGTAATGATGCTTTTGGTAGTACTCAGCAAGTATTATGTAATATATTGAATATATTAAATATTGAACAATACTGCTTTGAAATTTTGTTACACGTAATTATGGATAAGTATCTGAAATGAAATACGATGTGTTGGTTGGTCGTTAAGTCCTTAGCCAGGGCTTTAAAGAAACAATTGACGCCGAGAAATTCCAAATTTCTAAAACAAAAAGGGTAGATGTTTTGACTGTAACTGATTACAAAGATTTTATTGGATATAGATACATATAGATATTAATGCTGATATTGATTTAGTCGAATCCGATAAAATGGCCTTAACAAATATCCTAAAGTGTTACTCTGATTGGTTTATCAGCGGTATTCCAAAAACTCGAGTCTCGACAGGGCAGTTAGAAATTAATTTAATAGATCCACCAAAAACAGTGCAACGACGTCCTTACAGGCTAAGAGAGAAAGAAAAAAACCATGTGCGCTGTAAAATTGATGAATTATTGAAAGCAAATATTATTCGTCCAAGTTGCTCACCTTTCGCCAGCCCTATGATGTTGGTAAAGAAGAAAAACGGCACTGATCGTCTTTGTGTGGACTATAGGATATTAAATGACAATACTGTTGCTAATAGGTATCCGTTGTCTTTTATCGCAGACCAGATTGCCAGGCTTCGCGGTGCCAAATATTTCTCGTGCTTAGATATGGCCGATGGTTTCTACCAAATTCCAGTACATGAAAATTCAATAGAGCGAACCGCGTTTGTAACGCCAGAAGGGCAGTACGAGTTTTTGACCATGCCTTTTGACTTGAAAAATGCACATTCAGTGTTCCAGAGGGCCATAATAAGAGCATTAGGAACTTTAGCACACACATGTGCTATCGTCTATGTTGATGATGTGTTGGTTATAGCCGAAACCAAAGAAGAGGCGTTGGAACGGTTCCGTACTGTACTAGAAATATTAGGTAATGCCGGATTTTCGTTTAATGTAACTAAGTGCTCCTTGGGGTTCTGGAGTTCGAAATAAGCAACGAGGAAATTAGGCCAAAGGCACGTAAGATAAAAGCATTGATTGATTTACCGCCTCCACAATCTGTGTCGCAGTTACGACCATTTATTGGATTGGCTTCATATTTCAGACAGTTCGTTCCAAAATTTTCAGAGACGCTTACGCCTTTGTATCACCTAACGTCAATGAAATTGCAACTTTCGCTTGGCAACAAGACCACGAGCAAATACGAATTAAAATCATATCTGTGTTGACAGAGGCACCCGTTTTGATCATAGTCGACCTGCAATATGCAATAGAGTTGCACACTGACGCCAGTTCAATTGGCTATGGAGCTATATTATTGCACAAAATTGATAACAAACCCCATGTCGTTGAGTATTTTAGTAAATGCACGTCTCCTGCTGAGTCTAAATATCATTCTTATGAATTAGAGACGCTAGCTGTAGTTAACGGTATCCGACATTTCCGCCATTACTTACAGAGACGTAAATTTGTCGTATATACAAACTGCAATTCTTTGAAGGCTAGTCGCACAAAACTCGACTTAACGCCGAGGATACATAGGTGGTGGGCATTTTTGCAATCGTTTGACTTCGACTTAGAGTACAGAAAGGGTGAACGAATGGCGCACAAAGAATGTCTATATCGGAATCCAGTGCCTGAGAAAAATAATGATCAAAATAAAATACCTGAGGACAATAGTGGTCAGAATAAAATACCCGAGAAGCGAATAAATTTGACTGAGGTAACCGACAACTGGTTAATTTCGAAGCAACAGTGTGATAGTGAGACTTTAGAAACATCAACTAAATAATGAATTACAATTAAATAATGAATTACCAAATAATTTAGTTAAAAACTATGAATTACGTAAATGTATTTTGCATAGAAAAATACAGCGAAATGGTAAATTTAAATCTAAATCTAATAATGCATTTGGAATGGGAAAAGACATTAGATAAGGTTTATAGCTATTATTAGTTTGAAAACATGTCAAAATATGTGCGTCGGTACGTAGAAACTGTATCACTTTTAAATTTTTGAAGCCACCCGTATGTGAAGTGCAGGCAGAGTTACATTCTATTCCCAAGATAGATGTACCGTGGCACACAGTACATATTGACATAACAGGTAAGTTGAGTGGTAAAAAGGACTTAAAAGAATATGTTATTGTCTTAATAGACGCATTTACAAAATTTGTTTATTTTTACCACACTTTGAAAATAGATACGCAAAGTTGTGTTAAGGCCGTAAAATCAGATGTTTCTTTATTTGGCCTAACTACCCGAATCATAGCGGATCAAGGTCGTTGTTTTGCAAGTTCAGATTTTCGTGAGTTTTGTTCCTCCCAAAAAATTAATTTGTATTTAATTGCCACCATTGCGAGTAGGGCCAATGGTTAGGTCGAGCGAGTAATGAGCACACTAAAAGTATGCTGACGGCTGTGGAAACTGGTCAGAGATCGTGGCAGGATGCGTTGGTGCAAGGTGCAATTACAATGAATTGTACGGCGAATTGAGTAACTAAGTTTAGCCCATTAGAATTGTTAATTGGTAAGGAAGCTAGACCTTTTGGCTTAATACCAATAGATAAAGAGTTGATGAAAAAATAGACAGAGAAAAATTTAATGTTAAAAGTTTCAAAGGCATTACACTAATTCTATTGTAATGTGTTAAAGGAACTACACAAATTTTATATTATAAGATGTGTTAAAGAAATTACACAATTTTTAAAATGTGCCA